CATCTAATTAAAAGGAACAAACAGAAAAAACCCTTTGGATAACACACCCACTCTTATACAAAGTCTAATTACTTTAAGACAAGTTCTTTGGCAGAGTCATTGTTGCTCTCAGCTTCTAATCCAGATGGTTATTTGGTTTAAAGTGCTGGTTTTAAATTATGCAGTTTTCCTTCAAGTTTCCCTCTGGGCACTTCAAGTTCTCTTATTTATCCTTCAGTACAAATAAAATCTATACACTGAACAAGGAAAAATCTCAAATTTCTATCAGCTACAGCAGTCCTCTTATCATTTTCATGGCCTTCCTCTGGACCTGCTCCAACAGGTCCATGTCTTTCCTGTGCCGAGCGCCCCAGAGCTGGATGCGGTACACCAAGTGGGGTCTCACCAGAGCAGAGTAGACGGGGACAATTAGTTCTCTTGATCTGCTCACCACACCTCTGATGCAGCCCAGGGTGCAGTTGGCTTTCTGGTCTGCGAGAGCACACTGCAGGCTCATGACCAGCTTTTCATCACCATTATCCCCAAGTCCTTCTCAGAAGGGCTGCTCGCAACTCATTCATCCCCTGGTCTGTATTGCTAATGATTGCCCCAAGCCAGGTGCAGGACCTTGTACTTGGCCTTGTTGAACTTCATGAGGTTTGCACGGGCCCACTCCTCAAGCCTGCTGCCTGTCAGGGTCCCCTGGATGGCATCCTGTCCCTCTATCCCAGTCACTCCATCATAGAAGGCCACAAGATTAGTCAGGTATGATTTGCCCTTGGTGAAGCCATGTTGGCTGTCTCTAATGTCCTCCTCATCTTCCATGTGTTTTGACTTAACTTCCAGGAGGATCTGCTCCATGATCTTACAGAGCACAAAGGTGAGGTTGACTAGTCAGTAGCTCCTAAGGTCTGGGTGTGATACTCCTTTTTCTCCAGTCAGCGGGGTCTTTGCCATGACATTTCAAATATGATGGAAAATGGCTTAGCTACTACACCTGCCAGTTCCCTCAGGATCCCAGATGTTTCTTAGCCTAAAAGTGACATCACATATATTCCAAATCACTTTTGCATTTCAAATCCATACGTACCTACTTGATATCCTTTTCTTTTCCGTTGTCTTGCTGCTCTTGGCAAACAGAATTTAATGGGATTTTGACAGGAAAATCTCAACAAAACCAAAAAACCAACAGTACTCCACAAGTTACTTTACCATCTTAATATTTATTTTCATAACCACCTTGATGTAGGAGAAAAAAAACACAGGATCAGAGGCTGGAAAGAAGCTGGGGGCAAAAGGTATAATGGTTCTACAACTGCAGGACAGCCTGTAATTAAATCTTTGTGCCCTGAGACTACATTCTTCTCCTGCATGTAGGTGGATGAATGACTGACACCACGCTGGCAAAGCGTATCTCACACTCCCCTCTAGCGCCCGCGGCGCACGGCTGCCTGCTCCTGTGCCCCCTCTGCAAACTGCCCGAGGGCCAAGGGCCTCTCCAGGGGTCTGGAGAGCTCTGCTGCTAACACAGCTGTCCTCAGTATCATTCCATGTAATTAAAGTCAGGGGCCCTCAGTTTTATTTTAAAGACAGGTCTGACACTGAAACTCTGTACTAACATTAAATCATAAACTCCTCATTTTAGATATGATGGAACTTCAGGTGGGCTAGTGTATTACACTTGCCCCTTGAGCACGTGCATTGTATTACCTCAATTATTATGAAATCATATGTGATCAGTGTAATTGATGTGCACATTGCAACATATATGCACAAAGGGTACCAAGTTTCTCCATGGAGCGGCTGAGGGAGTTGGGACTGTTTAGTATGAGGAAGAGGAGGCTGAGGGGAGACCTCATCATTCTCTACAACTATGTGAAAGGACACTGTAGAGAGGTTGGTGCTGGTCTCTTCTCACAGGTAATTCATGACAGAACAAGAGGGAATGGCTTCAAGCTCCAACAGGGTTGGTTTAGATTGAACATTAGGAAAGAATTTTTCACGGAAAGAGTGGTCGGGCATTGGAATAGGCTGCCCAGGGAGGTGGTGGAGTCACCATCCCTGGATGTGTTTAAGGGCCGTTTAGATACTGTGCTAAGGGACATGGTGTAGGGGATGACTTTGTAGAGTAGGGTAGATGGTTGGACTTGATGATCCCAAGGGTCTCTTCCAACCTAGACGATTCTATGATTCTATGTGTCCTTGAATTCCACACGTACTTTCACTAGGTCCTTTCCTACAGTGACCATGCAGCCTGCATGAACCTTGAGTTACAATCCTAAAAACATATGTTCCTCCATACATACAATTTCTGTTTGGACATGTATACTACCTTAGCTCAGTGACTGAGAAAAAAACCAAAACTTCACAGCTGCTGAAACAACAGCCTGCTGAGACGTGACGCTTGGAAGATGTTTTCTGATGCACCATTTATCATTGTCATCACAGTGCACAACAACTTAATACAGTAGATTGCACTTGTGTATCGCAGAGCAGTTATTCTCAACCATAAGAAGACAATGCCAACTCATAATTGTATTAAATTATTACGGGTTACAATAAACTTAAAATTGTTCTACAAATAAAATCTATGCATGCTAATGAGAAAAAAATGATCAGCATAAAAACTATTACCTGCCAGCTTTATAACTACAGTCATTATAGCTAATTATATGTCTGTGGCAAGGGAATACTTTGCTTCCTACAAGCATTTGGGAGTCTTCAAAACACTCTCAGGTGAGGAAAAGCAGCAAGGAACGGTCTAACTTTGTAAGCCCTACAATTTGAGAAAAACTCTTCCAGCTATTTGTAGAAAGAGAGATACCGCCCTCTTTCTCTCAGTAATCCTGGTCCTTCCTTTGCTTTATGCCTATCACCTGGCAATTTATAATTCAGGAATTTTGTGGGCAGGTACAGTTTATTGCTAGCACCCCAAAACGAGTAAAAGATACTGAGCTGCTGGAAGTAGAGCAGCTGTGAAGAAGGCATAAGGAAAAAGATTCAGTATGACTGAGAATTGTCATTTAGCTCAGCTTGTAAATAAAATAACATGTATTTCTGTCCACTGGGTTTTAAGGAGCTTCCAGAACATGTCTGAACCTGAGAACACAAGGTACCAGAAATACTGTGATACCATAATACACAATTAGCAGCAGTACAGAGTATAGTCTCTCTCACTCAAGAAAAAAAGGAAAAGAGAACACAGAGTAACTTAAGATCACTCAAAGTTTGGTACTAAACCAGCTTCCCAGAGGGATAGGACCTAAATGTAACTTGGCTGTCTCCCTGCTGATATCATTCACAGCTGATAAACCCTAGGAGAAAGAGGATAGTTGGAAAAACAGTTGGGAAAGGTGAAGGGGCCAAGTGAATTTAAGTTTAACTAGTTAAATCACTGTTCCTGCAACATGGTAGAATGTGGGACATTTAAGTTTTATCACTCTTTTTAACACTATGTTTTAGTTTGTGATAACAAAATCAGGGGAGTTAGCACACAGGACGGGTGAGTGAGCTGTGTAAACACAGAAAAAAAACCAAGATAAAACCCCAAACCAAATCAAGAACAAATAATGACATAAAACCGTAGCTTTAGTTAGGTCCAAGTTAAAGTCAATGTGTCATTTTTTTTTTCTTTAAAAAAACATGTTCTGGAGCTGTAGAGGCAAATTATCAGCTTGCATAACATCACCATAAGGAGTGGCAAGCAGATTTCCACAGAAACCTTCTTATATACTTGCCGCGCTAATCCTGCTTTTTCCAGCACTTTAAAAATTGTTATTTTAAATTGTGCATTTCATGGTTAGACACAATTGATTTGGAACTGTCCTATAACTGACAAATCTTACACGTTGGCCTAATTTCTGACCTGATTCTGTGGATCTAAGAGTTTAATGTCAGATGACGAAACTCTGTAAAATGCAGACTGGATTTCCAAAAAAAAAAAAAAAAAAAAAAAAAAGGGAAAAAATTAATTCTTCCACTAATCCTGATCAGTTTTCCTGGACAAATCAAGGAACACTTGAGGGTTTGCCAACCTGAGGATCACAATTATGGGAAAAGCTTACTGAGCTTTATTTTCTTGTACTGTTGCACTAATTTTCCAAAAACTGTTTTTTTCTCCCTTGGTGCAGAAGCACACCCAGACCAAGGCCAGTTGGATGCTTATGGCGACCTGCACAGATCCATCAGCATCCTCACCACTGCCAACGTCACTGAAGCTGGGCTGGGTCACCTATTTATTAAAAAAAAAAAAAAAAAAAGGTAAAAGCGGAATAAGTTACTTCTTCACGAACACTTGCATATGGAATGACAATTCTGCTATCACAGCCCCCCTTTGGCTAATTGGCATAGACCCTCTTCTGATTAGCACCGCTATGGCAGCAGCATTTTTTCAGTGAGATTGGTTCCCTTATCTAAATTATCACGAAGCTGCATAAATATTCACAGCACTACTGACACCACCATTTCTGAGCTGTGGTTGTCTGTCTTTTTTTTATTAAAAAAAAGAAAAAAAAGGGCAGTTGTACTTTTAGAGCATTAAAGCATCCCAGAGGAAGCAGCGGCGGTGCTGTCGGGGGCACCAGCCGAGAACCAGCCCAGCACTGGGGGGTTTCCCTGACAGACTGGTAAGAAAATCTGTAGTTTGGGTTGTTTTTTATTTAAGTAATAACCGCCAGGCCGGGCTTCCCGCCTCCTGCCGCGGCACCCACTAAGAGGCCGCCCCCCCCACACACACCCTAGGGCGGCACCTCCGCGTCCCCACCAACGGACATACAAGAGGCCGCAATTTGCCCCGTCCCCTCCGGGGATGCCGCTGCTCTCCGCCCCGCGGCTGCTGGGCCCGGGCCCGGGCCCGGCCGGGGAAACCCTCCCGGGCACCGGTGAGGCCCCGCCGCCCGGTCGCCAGACAACGCCGGGGGGCGCTGTGGCCCTACGCCTTTAAGAGGGAGTCGAGCACCTACACGACCGATCGGCGGCCACGCCCCCCCCCTGCCGCGGGGCGGCCGGCGAATGGGCGGCCGGCAAGGCTCGCCGCTAGATGAATTCGGGGCTCGGCCGGCCGCGCCTGGAGCGCGGGGGGTTTGAGGAGCTGCTGCCGCGCCGCTCTGGTAGCGGCCGTTGCTGTGGCGCCCCCCGCTCCGCCCATGGCCTCCCCGCTGGTAAGGGACCGGCACCGGAGCACTGCCGCCGGGGGGTGTCGCCCGGCGCCGAGGGTTGCCCGCGGCTACAGCTGGTGCGGCCGCCGGGAGCGCTCGCTGCCGCGTGCGGGAGGTTAACGGCTCGGGGGGGGGTAATGGGGTGGGGGAGCCGCCCGCACCCGGGGGCTGACGGCGCGCGCCCTCTCCCTCAGCAGGACCCCGTCTTGATCCGGACTCTCCGGGGCCACGGAGCGGCGGTGACCGGCGTCGCCTTCAAGGCGGACGGCGCGGGGCTGGGTGAGTGCTGGGGGCCGGCGGCGGGGCCGGGCGCCGTTTGCTTTGCGGGCGGGGCCGTTCGCTCCCCCCCCGCCTTCCCCCTCTCCTTCCCCTCTCCTTCCCTCCCTCCTTCCCCCTTTCCGGCCGTAGGTCCGGGAGCGGAGGCGGGGCGGGCCGCCGCGCCGGCCGGGCGGGCTGAGCAGTCTCTGCCCCTTCCTTAAGCGACAACTTTTTGAGCAAACCACAGCGGGAGGAGGGGTTTGTCCCGCGGCGAGAGGGGAGGGGGAGGAGGAGGAAGTAAGTGAGGGGAGCGCTGAGCCGGAGGGGCGGGGGGGAGGCTGCTCCCGTGCCTCCGTTGCTGCCCCGCTCCCCCCGCCGTCCCCCGGGAAGCCTGTGGGCCCGCCGCCACCGAGGGACCGGCTGCCAACTCGGCCGGCGGCCCGAGCCCCAAACTGGGAGCGCTCGTAGCCCTCTCCGTCCCGGGGGCGCGGGGGGCAGCCGGCGGTGGGTGGCGGAGCTCCTCTCTGCTCGGGGCTCCTCTCCATCGCCTGCCATGAGGATCCGGCTGGCGAGAAGGTGGACGTGGGTCCGCAAAAGCTGCGTGTTTCTCGGCTTCTTGATGATCGCTTACTTCGTGGTCGAGCTGTCGGTTTCTGCCTTCGGGGCCTCCCTCGCCGGGGAGAGCATCACCAAAGGGAAATGGGAGAGGCGCTTTTCTGATCGAGCAGAAGGGGCTGTGGATTTGGCTCGTCCAGTTTATGACAAATCCCCGCCTGATCCTTATGCCCCGGGAGAATGGGGTAAGCCCTCTCGTCTGCAGCTGAGTCCTGAAGAGAAAAAGCAGGAAGAAGAGCTAATTGAGAAGTATGCAATTAATATCTACTTGAGTGATAAAATCTCCCTTCACCGGCACATTGAAGATAATCGAATGAGTGGCTGTAAAAGTAAATCTTACGACTACAGGAGACTGCCCACAACGTCTGTTATAATTGCTTTTTACAATGAAGCCTGGTCAACGTTGCTACGGACGATACATAGTGTTCTTGAAACATCACCTTCAGTGCTTCTAAAAGAAATTATACTGGTGGATGACTTGAGCGACAAAGTGTATTTGAAGGCTGAACTTGAAAAATACATAAGCAGTCTGAAAAGAGTTCGTTTGATAAGAACCAACAAACGAGAAGGATTGGTTCGTGCACGTTTAATTGGTGCTACCTTTGCTACTGGTGATGTCCTCACCTTTCTAGACTGTCACTGTGAGTGTGTCTCTGGCTGGCTGGAACCGCTGCTCGAGAGGATTGCTGAGAACGAGACTGTTATTGTTTGTCCTGTCATTGACACCATTGACTGGAAAACATTTGAATACTACATGCAAACAGCAGAGCCCATGATCGGGGGGTTTGACTGGCGGCTGACATTCCAGTGGCACTCGGTGCCTAAACATGAACGTCTCAGGCGCAAATCCGAAACCGACCCCATCAGATCCCCAACCATGGCTGGTGGCTTGTTTGCTGTGAGCAAGAAGTATTTTGAGTACCTGGGTACCTATGATACAGGAATGGATGTTTGGGGAGGGGAGAACTTAGAATTATCGTTTAGGGTTTGGCAGTGTGGAGGCATGTTGGAAATACATCCGTGCTCCCATGTAGGCCATGTGTTTCCAAAGCGTGCACCGTATGCTAGACCAAATTTCCTGCAGAACACGGCACGCGCTGCTGAGGTGTGGATGGATGGGTACAAAGAGCACTTTTACAACAGAAATCCTTCAGCAAGAAAAGAAAACTATGGAGATATTTCTGAAAGAAAAATACTAAGAGAGCGTTTGAAATGCAAGAGTTTTAACTGGTATTTAAAAAACATATTTCCTGAGCTGCATGTACCAGAAGATCGTCCTGGCTGGCATGGTGCTATCCGCAGTGCAGGAATATCTTCGGAATGCCTTGACTACGTGTTACCAGAACATCATCCTACTGGGGCTCATCTTTCTCTGTTTGGGTGTCATGGTCAGGGAGGCAATCAGTTTTTCGAATACACATCAAATAAGGAGATTAGATTTAACTCTGTAACTGAGCTATGTGCTGAAGTCCCTGAGCATGAAGATTTCATAGGTATGAGGAACTGCCCAAAAGATGGATCTCCTATCCCAGAAATTATTATATGGCATTTCAAAGAAGATGGGACTATCTATCATCCTCATTCAGGAAAGTGCCTTACTGCTTATCGTACAACTGAGGGGCGTGCTGATGTGCAAATGAGAACTTGTAATGCTGCAGATAAAAATCAGATTTGGAAATTTGAGAAATAATAATGCTGGTTTATGCTGGTAGCATAAATCAAATGGACTGTGATCTCCAAGGCTTTTACATGCTTGAGCAGGTAGCAATGCTTGATTGGGTACCTTGGATTGTCTTCAGATGCATCTGTAGTGATGTAGAAGCTCTGTCTCTGTGGTGAACTGTATGGAAAGCAAAAGTAAATACTGGGGTTTAGTTTCTAAAATGTTGAATACAGATCTAATGCCTTTTATTTTTGTAAAATTTTGATCTGTTATTTTCTTACTTTAGTCTGCCTTGATTATGGTAAAACTTCTGAATGGACTGAAGAGGGATTTTTTTTTTTTTCTTAAAAAAAATTATACACACTGAACTTGCAAGATAATATTACAGCAAAGATTTTTTTTTTTTTTTACTTGCAGAAGTAAAAGTGAAAGTTCTTGCAGTGGAGTTAACTGACCTAATGTTGCAGGTACATTACAACACGTGTATCTAACACCTAAGTAATGCTGCTGTAGCATGTTATTGAATTGACATTGACGTGGAAAGTTGAAGCCTTGTAATATTCTGCAGTTTTCTGGGAGTTTGCATGCTCTTAAGCGTTTCAGGGTGACAACTAGCTGTATTAGATTGAAGAAAAGGAGGCTTTTTTCTGTAGATGGGCTTCGGCACTGTTGTGCAGTCTTGTGCCTATTCTGGAAAACTTACCTCATGAGGGTGACTCAGGAGCTCTCATGCGTTTAGAGAAGAGTGTAGTAGCAGTGGAACTGAGGACGTGCTGGTGGTACCACAAATGGGAAGGAAATAGGGATGGGTGCAAGTAAGATTTCTGTCTGAAGGTAATGGAGAAGGACAGAAAGCACAGAATTGCATTAGGTACTGCTGTTTTGTAGCTGTATATTTAATTTTTACATGGCCTCTGTGCAAGCTTTTCCAAGTTAAAACTGGCATCCTAGGTACACGTAGCTTATGTGACTATACCATGCATCCATTTAATTATTTTTTTTCTTTTTTTATTTTGGTCTGTCAGCAGGGTAGAGGAAGGAAATACGGAGGAAAATTTGAGCAGTTTCATTTTGCATCATAGATTTTTGACAACAGCTGGCATACATCAGCCCTAGATAGAGTTCTGAAATAATACAGCATATGCTGCCTCTTTCTAATCACAGTAGTACAATGGGAAGCCTTGGGTAAGGTTGGGAAGCTGGAGTTCCTGAAGTAAAGGGAGTTGAAAAGGCAAAGGGCAGCTTGAAAGAAACCAGGATTTGTTGGTTAGGTGGTTTACAAAACAACTTATTTAGAATGATTTCTGTATCCTGTTTTGATGAGTTTTGAGGAATATTGATTCTTGAATCATGTCACTAATCGGTTTTAAGTGTGATTATAGACAGTAGATGTGATAGATACCTTGCGTACTTGAAAAAAAAATAATCTTGTGTTAATATCTGTGTGTTTTAGTTTTATATGATTTAAGTTGAATGCTTCTTTTAATGTTTCGGGCATTCCAGCCTTTTTGATTACTTTCACTGAAGTAATAAATATTCTTCAGTAGCCACAGTGTAGTAGTTCTTGACATGGAGCTGATAGGTAGGGACTTGAGGTAGTGAGGTCTGGGTACTTGAGGAATGTAGCAGTTGTGCATTTGCTGCAGGTGTGAGTAGGTAGAAGGGTTAAAAGGGAGCAAGTGAGACCTGAAATAAGTGAAGACTTGCCAAAAATAAAGCCAGAGTAAATTAAGACATATTCTTGAATCTTAGTGGTTTTAAAAAGTTGAGAGGTTTGGGCGGAAGGATGCTGAGAGAGAGGGGCAACAGAAGAAGAAAATCTGGAGCTGAGGATGTAGCGTTGAATCATGCTAAAAATGTTTGCCACTGTGTGGCATGGGCTGTTTTAAGTCTTTGACTTATTTTTAGGAAGTTGCTTGCAATTTGATTTTTTTTTTTCTTTCCTAAGCTGACTTTTTTTTTTTTTTTCCTAACCCTCCTTTTTTTTTTTTTTTCCTAACCCTCCTTTTTTTTTTTTTTATAAAAGGGCACTTCTTTACTATATAAGGGAGACATTCCTGAAAAATTCCATTCCGCTCTGCAGCAAGGAATTCTTTTGTGGATCTACAAGTTGTGAACCATTTATCAAATTTTAAAAGGCAGCCAGTCATTATGTACTGGGGCAATAAATTATATAAAACTGTGTTCTTTTGTGGAAAGCTTGCTGTAGATTGTTACATCCAATAGAGATGACAGGAAAAAGGTCTGGGTTCTCCTCCACGGCAGAGCATAAGTTGTATGTGCAATGCATGTTTCCTCAGATGAAGTAATTAAGCGGTGTGAATATAGACTATGCAACTTTTATACAATTAACTTTTTTAGGATTTGGCAAAAACTAAATTTCATATAAAGAACTATCTTTGTGTTCAAACTGACATTTGAAGTGTTCCTTATCTATTTAAGCAATAAGCCTAAGTGAATCTGCCTCTTAGAGAAGTTATTCTCTCCGTGTGTATGTGAACCCTTCCTCCTCCTCCATCCACTTTCCATCCTATTTTTGTGGTTATTTAAAACCTAAAAGAAAAAAGCAAAAGTAAATATCCTAGCCCTAAAAAAAAAAAAAGAGTTAAATTTCTTCGTAATGTGGATAAAAAGGTTGGGAGAGAGAGGAGGGGCTAGATAAGGGGAGAGAAAGAGGAGGAAAAAAAACCTTGCTATTTCAAGTTCCGCTGGTTTTGAACTGAGTTGCAGCAGTTCTACAGAAATACTCTAATCCAGTTGTTATTCAGTGTGTACAGATTTCTGGAAAATCTGAAACTCTGAATGATTTTTCTATTCTGTTAGTCTTTGAAAATGTGGGGAACACTTGAATATATTCTAAAATACTGATTTTAAGTGGCTTAAAAGAAATTGAATGTATACTTAACACTGAATAATGTGGGAGGGCTTTGGGGTTTCTTTTGAAAAAATAAAATCAGAATGATAATTAAATGTTTGGCTATTGTGTTGACTCTTTTCAGTTCTCTTCCACTTGTGTACATACATGCAGTATACAACAAAAACTGGCACGAACTTGAACTTATAGGACTTATGAGAAGTTCCTTATAATTTATCCACTGCATTTAGAATTCCAAATTGGTCCCCTTGACAGAGGTTCCATTAATAATTGCTTTCCTCCAAGTAGGAAATCTTGTGAATCACTGTTAAATGTGTTTGTATAGTGACATTGCACCTTATCACACAGATTTGCAAGGTTCCTGTAAGGTGTGCGAGTTTTTGATGGTGGTGGTGTTTGAATATTCATACACACATCATGTACCCAGCCCTGTACTCCACCTGACCAATAATTCTTCCACCAAGTGAGTTAATTAAATTGGAGATTAGGGGGGAAAAGGGGTGACCAAGGGGTACACCTAGCTGTTAAAGCCTGGCTGAATATGTCTCTTCTGATCTTTGCAAGACTTTCTTATTTTCACTACTGTGGTATTGTGGGAAATGGAGTGTAATGGTAATTCCATGTTGCAGCAATTCGTGTCTTTATATATACATGTGTATATATGAAAATGTATACCATTAATATTCACAATTTATAAGTTGAATGTGGTGTCATTGCAAATAACTTTTGTGGCATAAGTGAAGCCCAGACATCTGTTCAGAGAGCTGCAGCAAAGCGGTGTGTACACTTGGCCTTTGCCTAATGCCACGTCTTTATTCTTTAGTGTTCAATTCTATTATGACTCATCACCAGAAAAGCAAATTACCTAGAGATGCAGCAGCTGTAGTTGGGTGTGTACAGAAAGCACTGACGTTTAGAGACAAAAAAAATAAGGGTACTGAGCTTATAAACTGGACTGAGTTGCATGTTGGAGTCAGCTTGGTGAGAACTTCCAGCTTTTTTCTTTCTAGATATATTTTGCAGCTTATCAAATACTTTCATTACTACAGCAAGGACAAATTCTGTTTTTCACCTCTAAACAAGTTTCTGGTTATGTTGTGCTTTCTCCTAGGATCATGTGCATGCTTGTGGTACAGCCCATCTTAAAAATTGTTTTGGACCTTCTGTGTTTCTTTTGTTTCAGTTCCAATACGTTGAATTAGCCTTGGAGATCTGCTGTGGACCATCTACTGGTGGTCTGGGAGTTGAAAGTCAGACTGTAGGGTGGTGGTGTGTGTAGCAAGTGCTAACGACTGGGTCTGCTCTGCATTGCTCTAGGGCCTCATGCTTAATCTTGTCCTGGATGGTCCTTGCTCCCCTCCTTTCAAACATTTAAATGCATAGACAACATGAACTTGAGGGGAGAAAAATGCATAAAAGGATAAAGAAGCAATTCTTAAGATACCATGCCAGAGCAAAACAGCAAAGCATTGTTACGAAGTAAGCAAAATACCCTAGAATGGAATTAAAAGAAAAACCAAGAAGTTTTATTTGATAATAATAAACTACACAGTAGATTTTTCATGTCTAAAACTGTTAGATTAGTATTGATAATAGAAATTATTGCTGGAAACACTGTTACCTTGTAGACTCTTGTATTTAGTACCTGTGACAAAATGTTTAACATGCAGCAAAATGCTTAGGCATTGGGTGTCTGCACCAAAGCTGATTTCTGCCTGTTTGAACAGGGAATAGCCTGGCTTGGCTGAGCCTTGTCAGTGGTGAAGGAATCTGGGTTCCCTGGCAGGATAGGGGCCAAAGCTGAATGTAGATTCAGAGTTTTGTCTTAGAGTTCCCTTTTTGGAGTTTATGCCTCTCGGATATAGACTCACATCAGCCTTAGGAAAATAATTCTGCAATGGATCCCTTGGTTATTCCCCTTTTCCTGTGCAGGTCCTGAACCTCTGCCCTCTACCACCATGGGGGGTTGGGAGGGGTGTCAGCTGAGCTGGAACTGTAGCATCAGAGATAATAATAGCCTTTGAGTGTCATGGTAAGGAGCGGGTGGCTTCAAGAGAGAAACCTATTTCAGGATGCTGTGTGAGCATAGACAACAGGGAGTCCAGAGGGAGAACAAGGAAGATGCTTGTGGATGTCCCAGGGAAAGGAGAACTTCAGGTCACTGCTTGTCTCATTAACCTTGGGATAATCTATTTGTGAGGGAGCAAACTACAAGAAACCAAGCCTTGAATTTATTGTACTGTCATCTTTTAAAATATTTCCCTCAGTTTTAAGAACTGAAAGCAAGGAGGACTGGTATTACATGGCCTCTTGTAGTTCATAAGGTACCTCTTAGTGTTCCACAGGTAATTGGCAGTTTGTGCATTATTTGTTTTTAGAAACCCTCAATCTTGTCTGTTTTGTGTTTCCAATGTGATGCCTTCAAATTCTGTTTTGGCTTACAGTTAATTTTTTCCTCTCTGTTTTATGCCACTCTAGGTCACATTTTTTTCTGAATCAAAGGGGGAAAAAAGAAATCATTCAAGTAAAATTAGGAAGATCCTGCTGTAAAATAGAGTTCTGAACAGTTGGAGGTGGTGGGGAGGAATATCCTGTACTTCTGTGTCAAATTTAGGCTTATTGGTATGGGCATGGGGATAGCCTGGTCCCAGATCTTCTACCGGAAGTAAAAATAATCTCTGTTGAATTCCTAAGGAGAGTTTAATATCTAATATTTTGTTTGAGACTTGCCTTGATACATGTGCTAATAAACAGACTCCTTTCCTTTGTGCTATGTTGGTGCCTGAAAGAGGTTGGGAAAGGAAGAACCATCCTTTTCATGTCCTCTTCAGCTTCCAGGAGGTCCCTGTTCTTCCTCTCACTCCCTTTCTGTACTAGGGCTAGGGATTTCATAATTGAGGGGTGGAAGTGTGAATCCCTTGTTTTTATTTATGGCTTAGCAGAGGTGAAGATAACAGGGGAGTAGGAATACCACAGTTCATCAGTTTAATTCAATTCCTTATTGACTATTTTCAGGAAACTATAAGAAGCAAAAGCAAGCTCTGGTAAAAGCTATGTCTGCCTTCTCAAAGGTACATAGTATGGCCCACCTGTAAAGTAGCTGGAAAAAAAACAACAAACCCAATTAATCTCTTTCTATTATCAGACCAACAGCTTCGTATTGCATTTTGAACTAGACAAATGTACTTAAAAATTGATACTTAAATAGGATTACAGAATTATCATATTTACTTTAGTGCAGGTATCTGAAGTGTTTTAGAAATGATATCTTGAGTTTAAGTTGGCCTGTCTTTTCGGAGTCAAACACTTGATTCTTGAAACAAATTCCATCTCAGAGATCAAAGTGAGATCATTGAAGAATTTGTCTCTTGTTCCTTGTATTTGGTAACACCAAATCTGGATTCATACTTAATGATGTCTGCATGATGTTCAGCTTTGGAATTTTTTATCTTTATGAAGTATTTTTAAGTCAGTTTGCTTAATATGTGGGAGAGTTACCTTACTCCTCCTGGTTTTCTGGTGTCCTTCCAAAAGCCTGGTGTTAGTGTTGCTGCCTGCCAAGCTTCTGCTTGTATCCATTAAAGGCCAGTAACTGTTCCCTCTCCTTCATACCCAGTAAGTTTACTAGTTAATCCAAATCCATAGTCAATAGCTCTGATTTTTTTTCTAATAACAATGAGTGGACTCATAATACCTTTGATTTCTTGCCAGCTACCTCCTCTTTGGATAGATTTCTTATGGTGTGGAAGCTGAAGACACAATGCAGAGCTTACAAATTTATAGGCCACGCAGAAGCAGTGACCAGTGTACAGTTCTCACCAGATGGGCAGCTCCTCGCTTCAGCTTCTCAAGATCGTACAGTCAGACTATGGATTCCCTGCATGTGAGTAGGATTGGGCCTTGCTGGCTATGTGTTTCATTAATTTCCAATGTGAATATTGGTGTCTTTCCTCAAGAAAAGTTTGGCTTCTCGCATCTCTGACTAGGCTTTGACAGAAACAGAGATTGGGAGCACGAGCAACACAGTTCTTTACTGTCTTACTTTGTTTTTTACTGAATATTCTGTAGTTTCTGAAGAAAAATATAGCAATTTGGAGGTCATAATTTCACATGTATAGGACTATGGTAGTATTCCTCTGGCTTAAAGGATGTATTTCTTTTCATAAGGATTGCATGGCTACAGTTAGTTTTTGGGAGACGAGTGATGAAGAAAACAAAGAATAGTATTTTGGGGAAAAAACAAATATTTTGAATTGACTGTTTTTAGACTTCTTGAGTAGTAGTGATTGAACTGTTCAGAATGATCTTAGACTGATGCTACTTTAACTCTTCAGCTTTTTGTAGATTACTATATCAAAAGTATAATAAATTCTCTTTCAAATACTGTATGTGAGCTAATGCTGCTAGTTAATTGCACTGTTTTCTGAAATTGGTCACATTAAATATAATTACTTTAAAGTCTTTTATTCTAATATTTAATATACAAAGAAGTAAAAAATATTGGCAGCTAAGATTTAGCCTGTATACATTGCTTTTTCATTTGGATAAGATTCCAAATATGTAAACTTCAAGTTTTATGGTGTTTTAAACTCTTTCAGTTTAATATAATAGTGTTTTGGTTTGCATTTTTTTTCCTAGTCATGGAGAATCATCAGTAGTGAAAGGTCATACAGCATCTGTTCGTAGCGTGAACTTCTCACATGATGGCCACTTTCTAGTTTCAGCATCCAATGATAAATCAATAAAAATATGGAGTGTTCGCCGTCAGAGCCTTTTGTATTCCCTATTCCAACACACTCACTGGGTTCGCTGTGCCAAGTAAGCATTTTTTTTTTATTCTCTTTGTAAAGAAGCAGAACTCCTAACAAAATGTTTTTATTTCTTAGGGCAGAACTAAGAAGAAAAATCTGTGGATGATTAATGATCATCTATCACTAATAATATTTTAATCAGTCTTACAAACAAATGTCATATATATATATATCCTAGTTGAAGTCTGAAAGTTTTCTGTGTTTATATCTGTACATATTAAATCTGTTGCTGGGTGTTAATTTGTTTACTTTTAAAGGACAAATAATACTTCAGTATTTATTTTCAGTCAGTATCATGTCTGTTTCCGCAGTCCTGTATGTTTTGTGCTCTAACTTATTTCACAGCATTCACTTGTTTCTATATTTATTATGTACGGTGGGGGTTTTCTCAACTATTCTTGGAACAGTAGTGGCATGAAATAATGGTCATGAGTCTAAGTTAAGCTTATGTAATTGGAAAAGGTAAAAGAAATGGTCTTTGTACTGCAAGTAAAGATTCGCATTCTATTTAAAGGCAGGGCAGCTCTTCAAAGACAAGAAAAGATTGTTCTCTGCTTTTTTTTTTTCATATTAATGGAAAATCTGCAGCTGAGAGGCCTGATTTAAACCTCTTGAGAAAGAAATTTAACACTGGTGAAGTAGCGAGCCCTACAAAGTTCCAAAGTATCTCATCATTGAGATGAAAAATAAAAGCTCTAGGAAATCATCTGGGGAAGTTCTTGAACAGTGTTCTAATGTCCTTGTGCAGTTTCTCAATATGAAAAATAATAAGGATTGGTGAAATTACAGACAAATCCATTTTCCTGTTTAAAAACCTAGTTTGCCAGTCTAGGAATAATCATGAATATTTTGCTGATAGTTTGTAAGTCTAGAGAGAACTCACAGGAGAATATATATGTAGGTTAGAATTGAATGCAAGGTTCTACTGTGTCGTCTTTGGCTTTTTGCCTATAGTTTTCTATAATAATCTCTTTGATATCTGAAGTGATAACCTTAGCTGCCGTTGCCTCCCCCGGCTCCTTTCTCTTGCTTATGCCTGTTTTTAGTTGTAGTGATTGTGAAATAGGAGCAGGGAGGAGTGAGGGAAGAAGCTTTTCAGTTTTATTAGTCCATGAGAAATATGAGAAATTCAAATGTTCTTTGAATGTTACACATTTTAATTCCAGACTGACTTTCTTGGTTCTTTGCAACTTAGGTCTCTAATGCTCATCTAGGTAGTATCAGTTCTTCAGTAATGTATACACCTGCATGTTTCAGATTTTCACCTGATGGAAGACTAATAGCATCTTGCAGTGAGGATAAATCTGTTAAGATCTGGGATACAAGAAATAAAACTTGTATTGATAGCTTCTTAGATTATGGAGGGTAAGTGTTCCTACAAAAAATGGAGAAATGTAAATGTGTAGTTTTAATGAGATTAATTTAATGTTTTGTGGTGTTAACAGATATATATGATCTACCTGAAAATAGATCAAAATTCTTTCAGCACTCATGTGAGCTAAAAGAATTAATTTCACATCTTTCTAAAGAGGTAAACTGGCTGCACTTTTCTGCACACTGCTGTTTTTCCATAGTCAAGAAGTAAGCCAGAAAGAAGTCAGATTGTTCTTGGATTTTTGAACATTTAATGTTTTTCCTCCATTTCAATAATGCTATTTGATGTTGGATGCCTCAACAAGAAGTTTAAGAATTCCCCACTTGTTAACAGAATACTGTTTTCATCAACTTCAGTGACCTGCTGTATTTAGGTTTAGAAAATACTTGCTTTTATTCATGTGCAGTTTTGTTAAACATACTGGAATGAGAGTTTTAATTAAAAAATGCAACTGAATATTAATCTTGTATATTTGCTTTGCTAATTGCATCACTGCTGTCTCTATCCTTTTTCCAAGCTAAAAGGTTACAGACAGATATTTTGCTCTTAGACAAAATTATTTTATTTGTGGCTTACAAACTCTTTGCAGCTCTTTGTGTTGGAGTACAAAGTCCCTAGAAGAAACTGTGAAGGTTTGAGTCAGGACAATTTTATTGTCTTTTATTATAATAGCCAGATTATACAGTCTGATCTATCATGCACATCATGTTTTCTCATGCTTATTTCCAATGCTTGAAATAACTTCATTTGAGTTTCTATACATGTGGATTCCACAGAAGCTTGTATCAACTCAGTGTTAATACTGTTTTTTACGTAGATATGTATATATATCTCTCTCCAAATATTTCTGTGGACCCATATAATCAATCTATCTTCATTAATTGTATTTAGATTTGTGAATTTTGTGGATTTCAACCCAAGTGGTACATGTATAGCTTCTGCAGGTTCCAATCATACAGTGAAACTATGGGATATTCGAATGAACAAGCTACTGCAGCATTACAAAGGTAAAAACAATGTAGTTTGTATTTTCTTTAGAATGGAGCTCTTGGCAATTAAGTATGATTTGCTTAGATTATATGATTTCTTTCCTTACTGGGGAAAGTGGACAAACAGGTCATTCTGGCATTTTGTAAGTAATCTTTGTAGTCCAGCAACCCTAAAAACCCAAACTGAACCCTGATGATTACTTTGCGGTGCTTCTCTTAATTTTTAGAACAGAACTAAGCAAATGCTTTAGAGAGACTGCTGTGCTCTGGCACTTTGGTTATTTTTCCCTTAAATGAAGTAGGTTGTTCTTTGGGAAGTAGAAAAGAGTGAAGAAATAAAGTCTGCATTTCCTGTTGGTAGATATCTATAGTCTTTGAATATTGTCTTTTGTAAATTAGTTCACAGAGCAGGGGTTAATTGTGTATCGTTCCATCCTTCTGGTAACTATCTCATCACTGCTTCTACTGATGGTACCCTTAAGATTTTGGATCTCTTAGAAGGAAGACTTATTTACACTCTTCATGGACACAAGGTATACAATCTATACACAGTAATCCTATTTAAATGAAGGTCTTAATAGATTATTCAGTGCCTTTTCAAAGGGAAAGTAACATTTGTGTCACTATGTCTTGTATCTTGCAACTTGCAGATAAACTTCAGTGGACAACAATTTATACACCTTGTCTCAAGCGCTAAGTAAATATATCACTTTTACCTACCACTACACAGTTAATCTGTTAATATTGTATGCATGCTTAATGTTAAGTAATAGATCACATTCTGAATTAATAATTCACTTTCTTGGTTGTCAAAATCAATTATTTGGCACGTTAGTCATTTTGTCTTTTGAAAAACAGCGCTTTCTAAGGAGGGGAGAGCTTATGGAAGATAACTTTTGTGAAGAATGGCAGACATTTTATCTCCTTTCTTTTAATGCAGAACAAGCCCTACCTTTGATAATGAATCACTCAAGCACATTGTCTTGAGTAATATAATATATATTTGATAATTTTTCATTGCAGAATTAAAGCATAGAAATCTAAGCAATATGCCACTATTTTCCTAGTATTGATTGTAGTAATTGAAATGCAGAATCTTGATTGAAGAGTTAATATTGCACATCTTTGTAAATTCTTCTGCAAAAGTTTCATTACTATTAAATTGTTCTTTATTAAAATTGAATTGAAAAATTCGTTTATATTAGATCATGGCATATGTGTTTTTCTCTTTGCATTACAATACTATGATTACAGTAATAGCGTCACTTTACTATATGCTAATTTTTTTCTTTCAGGGACCTGTACTTTCTGTGGCTTTTTCCAAAGGTGGTGAAAAATTTGCCTCAGGTGGAGCAGATTCTCAGGTTTGTGGTGTTGTGTCTTTAAATGTCTCAAGGTTTGTTACAGTGGATGGGAGTTAAATATAGTGTGTTAAAGTAACATGCTAATTACAGTCTGCTGACATGCATTCTGTTTAGTAGTGTGTTATATAGACTTTGTTTAGCCTAAAGTTAAATTTGAAGATTAAAATGATAAATATGTCACTTGAAAACTTTATCTTGACTACTTCTCCTCACTGTAACATCTAATTGAAAGACTGCAGTACCAGCCACTTCTGTTTTGGAGATTAAAATAAAGGAATGATTTTTAAATAGAAGGATTTAAGTGTTGCAATTCAGTGTCAAGAAAGTAGTTGTCGCAACTAGTGTTAATGCCTACTAGCTGCATTAGGCTTTCACTTCTTTCAAAATCACTACTGTGTAATTGTAAGAATTAAGTTGTGTTACTGGGAAAACTTCGGCTAGAGTTGGGAAAAATAGTCTTGTGTTAGCTTTGCTAATTCATATTGGTGAAACAGCAAAGTACTGGATTTTGTACAGAAAAGAGCTGTTTAACCATTTAGAACAACCAAAAATATTTTAAATTAAAAAGCAAATCAAATCAAAAATCAAATAAAAAAAAAGTGAAAATCTTGGCAAACTTCCAATATTAATTTTACAAGCAGAAAAAAACCCATCAAGAATGGGGAGAAGATATTTATTCCTTGTGACACTGGTCTAATATCTCATTTTCCATGCTAAAAGTTTGTTTTCATGAGAATTTTTCAGTTGCAAAATGAAACTAGGTAATCCTGAATTGTTGACCTTACTTTTCATGAGTACTTTTGAGTTTGATGAGGATTGGTATATTATACTTGAGAGGAAGTGCATGTCATAAACTAGATCACATGACAGAAGATTAATCTGAGAAGCTATGATGATAGAAAGGACATACAGTATGAAGCCCAGCTCAACCTCCCAAATTAATGCCAGCATAACCTGGGAATGCCTGTCTTATTGCAAGGTTACTTTGAATTTGGGACACCCTGAACGACAGGCATGTTCAGTGCAGTCATGTCATTGCCTTTGTCCTGCTGTGACTCTGTGCTGTAGAGCTGGTGGCACGTGGGATTGTGGAGTGAGTCGGTATTGTAGTGCAAAATCTAGGAGATGACGCAAGTTTCTCAGCAGCTTGGTATAGTGATTCCATGCTGAATGCATGAGAGGGAAGATCTAGTTTCATCAGGAAGTGCTTTAAGTGAATGCTGAATTGAAAAAAAAAAAAAGTAATCATGGTGGGTTTAGTAATGAATCCTTGTTTTATTTACCTTACAGGAAGGTGGGGTTTTATCTGTTGAAGTTTTTCCCCTTCTTGTGAATGTTCCAGTGGGAGAGGGCTACTTATTTTGTGGAACTTTTACTTTTGTATTGCAAGTTTTAAAATGTGCAGTGCTGACCATTGTGTGTTACATGCCTGTGTATAGATCTTTATCTATGGTAAACACAAGAACTTTATTCCTCAATGTTCACTTTCTGTTGGTGTATATACACATGTACTCCACAAACACCCTTTTTTTGCTGACCTGTCCACCACCCTCTTCTAAGTCTGCTAGGACAATAGTTGTGGGACCTCTTCTCAACTTGCTGTGCTAGAATTAATTTGGTTTACTGTAAATGTAGGGTGTATTCATTTAAAATGCTCTGCTGGCAGATCAGCAATGTCAAGCTGGTGAGCAGAGGCTGATCATAAAAGTATCATCTTGTATTCCTCATGCAGTATCCAAAAGATAATGTCTGTCCACAGCATGAGTTGAAGGCAGCTGATTCATTCTAAGTTTAGCACAGATTACTTGCTCTATACACATATTATTTCAAGCCTATTATACTTTCAAACATGAGATAAAAATCTGTTTTTACTCCATCAAAGAAGGAAAACCAGTATCTCTGCTTCTAGTTTCAAGTTTCTTTCTGGTTGGTGCAGAGCCAGCTGAAAGCTTTGTTCAGAAGCACGTTAAGTATTTGAAACAAGCACTGGATAATTCTTTTTTCTTTTTGTTTGCTTCTTTTCTCAGTCAAAAGACCCAAGCATGTAGAGTTCCCAAGTTTATCTTCTTCACGCTTCCTGGCTATATGTGCATGTGACAAATTATTTCATTTACCTGCCCCTGTGAAAGACGTAAGACCTTTTACAAGAGCAAAGTTATACCTATTCTTTTGAAAGGTAGTAGCCAGTGCTGTTAATTTAGTTCTTACAATCTAGAAGAGAACTCATTGTGTCCAGTTGACTGCCTTGACGTAAAAGGAAATATTGCCTTAGGGAATAACAATTTCTCTAGGGCTATGTGCAGTTGCTTTTACACTGTTTGCATTGCAGTTGAGATACTCAAGGCATATATGGATGTTTCCATGCTGCTTTTACTCTTATTAATTTGGTAATCTGTAACAAACCTGCAGTGGCATGGTCTTCTACTTTAGAGAAAAATGAGACACATTAAGAGCTCATGCAGTTAAAATGTTCACCACTGATGAAAGGTCCTATTTCTGCTGCCTCCCGCCTATACCTTTGTTTATACTCAGTGCTGAGCCAGTTTGAATTGCTAAACCAGCATAAAATTTGGGAAAACTGGGGAAAAAAAATCACATAAAAATGTGAGTAACTTTATGCTGGGTTGGATGATGGAGGTAGTGGATTTTTGACACATGGTAGTGTCAAAAATATTTTTGGCTCAACAGGTAAGTAATTTTAAATCAGATCACAATCCCTTGTTTGTTCCCTCTAATTTAGAGAGCAGCTATAAAAATCAGCATTGGACTTTTAGAAACTGCCATCTTCTAAGTGTTATGAATTTCCTCTCTTCTCTTTAAAGTAACAAAGATGATGCAAATCATGTAAACTTAATTTAATTATGTACGTCTACTGTTCTCTTATGACATGAGAGAGCAACATGGTGTGTTCTGATTTGGTTTCCTGGTCTATCCATAAGGCTGCATAGACTACTTTCTGCTGTCTTGCCTCTGCATTCTACTTTTCTTCTGCATTTGGCCATAGTGTGACTGCTGTGAATGTAATTGGACAAGTTTCAGAAAACAGATTCCTGTTGCTGAAACACTGGAACCAGGTGCTTTAAAATTCTGTGGAACTCTGTAATTTCTCTTATCCCCTCAAACTTTCTCGTTTTATCTGCAAACCTTTATAGGGGCCAGATATTTGATAGTGTATGGCCCCTTGATTTGGCAAAAAAAATGACAATACAGGCTAGTAGGACAGAAGTTCGCTTTGTTTTATAATTATTGGGACATCTTTTTAGAGTTTTTTTTTGTTATTGTGTTAAATAGACTGAACCACATCTGTTAGACTTGAAATACAAGATCCTCTGGGGAAGTGCCTGTGTTGTAGTAGAGATCAGATTAAGTGATGACAGAAGGTTCATTCTGATGTGGTCTGTTAGTAATAACAGATGTCACTGAAAATTATGTTTTGGGTACTGAATAAGCTTCAGGTAGTTACTGATATGATGGCTTCTTGCAGGTATTACTATGGAAAACCAACTTTGATTCATTTGATTATAAAGAAGTACTTAAACACCATATCAGAAGAACACATATTGATGATCCTCCTCATCTTCTTGATATTTACCCAAGGTCACCTCATCTCCATGATGAAAAACTTCAGTCAGTTGAGGTGAGTGCAATAAGTAATATAGCAAACTAGAACCTTTGTAAACAGTATCTGTCAAACATTTACAGTTAAATTTGTTCTATGTGTACCAGAGAGCTTTTTGTTGTTATGTATAATACTTTGGAAGTGACCATAGCTTACAAATCCACTTTAAGGTTACTAGGCTAGCTGGTGCTGTCAGATTTATCCTGGTAAATTCCTTTTGTGCTTCTTGTGTAAGTCTGTACTCTACACCTGATTTAAACAAAACATAGGTGATATTCTGATTTATGCTGAAATAACATGTTGAACTGCTGCAGAAGATATCTGAATCTTCAGTGAGCTTTAGGATACTACTCAAAAATATCATTATAAGCCAGACAAGGTGGCATTATTATTGCAAGTTAAATACTTGATTGTCATGAATGTCCTTCTTTCCAAGACCTTTATGTATTGTGAGAAGATCTTGATGTCTATTGAAGTTTAGAAAACCTTCTTGGCTAGTAGTGTGTTTTTATGTCACTACACAGTAGTGTAGTCTGATGTCTCTAAGTCAATTCTGCAGCTGCTTTACTGTCAAACCTTCTACCAGCAACCCTTGGATGTATTGGTAATTAGGAAACCAAAGTAAAATGTAAAATATTCTATATTCTATATCAGTATTTGGAAAATCCTGATATGGATTTGTCATGTTGTCTGAAAGCTATGTAGACAGGTAAACAGTACTGTCTTAGACAAAACTATTATCTCTTCCAGCCACAATGATTCTGTTATTCTACACTAAAACTTGAGGGATGTGTTTATGACTTCCCTTGGATAGCTTCTGCATGGTTACCTTCTGATTACCTGTACTTTCCTCTCTTTACTATTCTCTATATAATTCCAGTATCTAAGAGCTGTATCTGATATAAATCCAGGAAACTTTTGGTTGATGCTATATGCTAATACAGTCCTATAAAAATTCACGATTGCCCGTTTTTCTGCTCATATAAAATGTTGCCATGATATTTGTTTCCTCTCAGACTTCTAAAATACTGAGACTTGAGGATATTGAGGGGGTTATGTGTGTATGCAATATGTAAAAAATTGAAAGTATTTTGGTGGATGAAGGGAATCCTGACAGAATCCATCAAGTGTTTTCATGTGTCTGGTTCTCTTGTCAAGTTGGATGTGAGGGTTGCTGATGCTTAGTGTTTTGGTCAGAACAAGAGCAGGACAACTGCATGTATGACAAGCTTCACTGATTTCTCTACTGGAGTGTCATATTCATTGTAAGATCAATTAATGAAATTAAGTTTCTGGGTAGCAGCCTTCAATACACGTGGTCAGTGCTGGAACAAACTCAGTCACAGCATTTGCCAGCAGGTTTAAACCATTCTTGCTATGTCAGTGGTTTGCTTCAAGACCCAGTCAAATTGCACCCGTTTATAACATGTGATAAACATACAGACACACAGAGTAGCTTATAGTTGCAGGGTTCAGTTGCTTTCTTTTCAGGTCAACTCTTCTAGACCTCTGCTGCTCAGATGCTTGGCAAAGGTATAAATAGTTTCTAAACCAATTTTCCTTTCTTTTTTTTTTTTTTGTCCCTGGTAATTGAGAAGCTCTGGAAAAGTGTTAATGAGGTCAGGCTTTAAACTAAAGCTAGGAAGCATCTTGTTACCAATACTGAAAGGGCATATAGAAGAAATCTGATAGTTGAATGTCAAGATATTATTTATCAGTTAGCTTTGACAGATTCCACCCAACCTAATGTCTGCATTTCTTCATGATTAACATTTCTTACAGCAGCTTATAGGCTTCTTGTTTAGTGGCTCTGTAGTAGTGAAAGGACTCTGTGGCTTTGTCAGTCATCATACCAAAGTTTTGGATTAGAGTATCTTCCTCTCTAATAAATTTGAAATATATTACACTATTTGAGATAGAAGAGTCTCTGATAGTTTCAACAAAACTGGTGTTACTGTAATATATGATATTTTTATATTTGTAAATTAAATAATAATAATAATTAGGATTTCTTTTGCAGCTTATTTTCAGAATTAATGTAATAGTTTAGACAGTGTTAAAGTGAAGTTATCAAGTTCTTTTGCTCCATGTGTTTTTTCCTTTTTTACTGTCCCTCCTGACTCTTTCAATTGTTCTTTTTGTTGTGGTGAGGAAGAAGGGACCTCACCATCTGGACAGAGACATAACTTACCCAGACAAAACTAGTATCAGGGTACTCCCAGCAGTAACACGCTTTGGTGGCACTAATTGTGCTTGAAATTTTTCAGTGTTCCATCTTCTTAAATATTCCCTCCTGTAACTGAAAGAAGCCCAGTACTTCTAGTTCCGCTGTTCTGTACTCTGGAGAAAACAAGAGGAAAATTATTTTCTCTCTTCTCACAAACATACTTTTTTTTTTTTTTAACCATCCCAACCTCTTCCTAAGCAACAGGCAATAGAGAGAATTTTAGCCCTAGACAGTTCCACTACAACACCACCTTCCTCTTTATATGGCTTATTATGTTTCTAATATACCAGGAAAAGGAGGAATTAAATCACAGACATGTCAGTTAGAGGGAGCTTTTGGAGATCATCTAGTCTTGTTGCCAGTGGTACATAAAGTCAGCCACGGCTGTGTCTAGTTAGGGGGCTTCAAAGTGGGGTGGAGGTCCCCCCAGTCTCTCTGGGTGATCTGTTCCACCACAGTGCAGCAATTGTAACAACGCAGTTTTTCCTATTATCTGCACCTTGGATAAAGTGCAGGACTGTTTGCTTTCTATTTATTTTCTTTTTCGTGAGGAACAAGGGAAGATGATTGATCTTAAGTAAACTGAAGTAACAGTACTTCAAGAGATTTGTTAACATATGCAAGAGTTGCAGGCAGGCAGAGGAGGCAGTTCAAATGCAAGGTAGAAGTAAAAAGGACCTTTTAAGGCTTGCTACAAGCCACTACAATGCCATCTAGGCTCTTGAGATGTGTTATAATGCATTGCCCTGAGTTACACTGAGCTGCTTAAATTTAGGCCCCTCTATAGCAGGAATGAAGATTGATTCCCTTAGTATAAAACTTCAAGTGGTAGAACACAAAAAGTTCTAGAGATGTATAGGTAGAACTCAGAAGTAATTCTGTCCATTAACTTTTAACTTGTAGTGTTTCATGCATCTCCAGGTTTCCTCATGCTTTTGGATATTTGTTGCTTCTCTGTCCCTGCTTGCCTCAATGTGGCAAGGTCCCTACTATTCCAGAACTTGATTCTGGGAAAATAGTACACACAAACCAGAGCTAGCTTTGCTCAGAACTTACGCAGCTGCGTTCAGAGGCAGTTGTAGTGTCTTCACACATCACCAGTTAGAAATGCTGGTGCATTTCTCTTTTTGCACAAAAGAGTTTGCACACGGGCATTAAGAATTACAGGAATCACCTGGTATTTTGCCTTCAGGATAGTGACTGAAATATGGAGCTTAAGTTCACGTTTTCTCAGAAATTTCTCTTATTCACTCCTTAAAGCTGTATACAGAGCCAGTAGTATTTAAGATACTTTCTCTAGTTTTTCTCTCTCCCTGCCAATTTTTTGAAGTATTATTAACTTTTACAATAAATTCCTTTACTTTATCTCCTCCTTTTCAGACCAGCAGTAGCCTGAATTTTAATGCAGTGTCAAATATGATGTTCTTGACTTATAAATCTTTACAACTGTTCTCCAACTGCACTTATCTATGCAATTCTTGAATATTCAAGTAAGTAGAGGTATAAAGCTTATAATCTTTACAATTATTCAAATAATTTGGAAATGTAAGTAAATTACTTGTTCTCTGAAGGTGCCTACTTTTTTCCATTGGCCATAGAGGTAATCTTGGGTGACCAGGTCAAATACAGGTCTCTAGCAGTAAATTTAGCTGTGATAAATCACAAACATTGTTTCCCTTTGAAATAAGGAGCTTTTGGAGATATTTGAAAATATTATGTTTAATCAGTAATACAGTTTCAGTGCAATATACTGAAAGAATTGCACTTCACTTGACAGTTGTATATCTGCATTTCCTATGTTTGTAAGTAATTAATCTTTCATATACTAGAGACTACTTTATAGTGGATGGAAGATAGAAATAATTGTTTCCTTTAAAAACATAGCACTGAGGTTTGAACAAATTAGGATGTGTAGAGTTTGTATCTCGAGCATGAAAAGCTACTGTTGATTAAGTTTCATATTCAAATTTTCAGTGTGATTTCAGTTGTAAATATTTTCTTAAATGAAGGAAATCCAAATATACACTAGGTGGCAGTAGAAATAAGAATATATGGCTTACTTGGCTTGAGGGCTCCAGTCTAGCCCAAAGAACAGTGTTTAATCCAACTGAAAGCTAAATTTCTCTTGATTTGTTGGGAGAGACTAATTCACAGCTAGCTACATCACTTTCCTAGGAAATACTTTGTGTGAGTCATTTTAAACTTCCTCCTTTTAATTTTATTAATTTTTAATTTTTTGAGATACATTATAAAAATAAAATGAAGGGTGGCTTTTATTTCTGAGGTATGATATAATTTATTAAAATAAATGGATGGATATCTGTAGAGGCATAATCATTTACTTGCAGCATATGGCTGTCAATCACACACTTAGTTGGGCGTGTTTCTTTCGTTCCTCCCCTAGTTCTCTGTCCTAAGCAGTGGTCCTGCTTCCTACCTCTCACTTTCTTTAAATAATATATTTTGGTTTCTCTCCAATCTCTAGAAATCTGTAATTCCTTACATGAAAGGTTCTGTATTAACCTTCCTTCAAATATATTTTCTTGTGCTATGGATCAAAATATGCTAATTTTATCATCATATTGAAAGAAGATAATGAAAATACTTACATATCAGTTTACCATGTAATTAAAGGAAAGCTTTGGAAGAGTGTGTTTTGAAAACATGACAGCTCTCACTACCCTTCTTTTTAGTGTTCTGGTTTTCCTTTCTTGTTTTTTACATATAAGTTTTTCCAAATTAAGAGGTTGTAGAAGTTTGAAGAGAGGAAAGTTCATTTCTCTCTACTATACCAGACGTCGTTGATTTGAAAGTCATCTATTTTTTCTGTGAATTTTGTCCGTTCATAAAATAATAAGAATAGTACTTCCATATGTCACGTGGAGAGGGAAAATGTATTAGGCTGTGACACACCTAGATAATACAATAGTAGGGAAAATATACACACAGATTTTTATAGAGAGGCTACTATGATCCTTAGGTGGAACCATAAGATAAATAAAAGCAGCAGCTTTCTCAAACTTTGTATTATCTTATATTTTGTTAACACTTCACTTTCCTGAAAGGACATTAGCAAAATACTGCTAAAGTTATAGATTAACTCCTATAAGCAACAATAAATGAGAAGTCCAAGTGTGCTAGCACAAAGTCAAAATTGCAGATGTTGTGTTGACACATTTGATCAGTCAGCCTCTAACATTATCCCTGTATAAAACAGTTTTTCCTGTGGTTTTGGGAACAGTGTGGTTTGCGTTTGGCCAGTTAACTTATCACACATTAGTCGTTCAGTGTGACCTCCTACCTGCTTTCCACAACAGCGTTTTGACAATCGGAGTTGGCATGTAAGATGCAAGCACATCAACAGCATGTCTGTTTGGTTGCAAGAGATGACTTGAGGAACTTGAGTGTGAGTTGGGAACTGATCAATCTGGGCTGCTGAGTTTTGGTGCTGAGCACCAGAGCACTTTCAGCTTTGGTGCTAACGATGTACCCATGTCAGTAAGGCAGCTTAGGTTCGGGACTGGCTTGGCACACACCTTCCCATGCTTTGCTGAGCCAGAGTGGCTGCATCCACATTGATGCTACCTCAGGCTGAATGACAGTGGGATTTACAGGCTGCAGTACAAGTCTGCGAGTGAGGATGTGCCTCAAGTAAACTACAACAGGCAGGGGACCCATGTAGCAGGAAAAACAGTGCTGAATAGATGTGTAGAGAAACCTCCACAAGTGGAAGGCTCCTGTTGTCCTTGGACTGTAACAAGCTAATTGAGCATTATTGCTAGAGGGCAATACACCGCTCCTGCTGGCAATGGTCCTTCTTGTGGAAGGAGGAATAGGAAAGCTGGCCTACAACTGCAACCACAAGTGATTGATGCTGGAAAGTAAAACTCAAAGGGTGACTACTTTCAGGAGCCCTTATAGTTGTGTGCATGCAAAAACCTCAGAAGCGCCTGTGAGGGACAGTTACAGAGTTGGGAAGTTTTCTGAATAATTCCTACTGTTCAGTATTTCAGCAGCATCATTGACCACTCTGTTAATTGCATGGTTTCAGCCTTGGGCACATTTTGAGTTAGCTGTCTTAATAAATCCATTTCAAATTAGTATTTGTAACTTCATTTTGTCATACAACTGAACTTCTTGGCACTTGCAGCTCTTGTGGCAGGAATTCTTGGAGTTAGTTTTGGTGATGGATGTTTATGAGGTATAAATTATATTTCTGTAATAATACAGAAGAGTTCAGATATGCATTTATATGATTGCATTTTACATGGTTGGAGGGTAACATCCTACCTTTATTTTTACATGTTAAGGCCTGTTTCCAGTCCTTAGTGAATAATGGCTCCTTAATGCAACAAGTGATCCTTTTTATTTCAGTCTTATTTCACTTTCTCTGCTGGTGCTAAAATTAATAATTTTGTAATTCATTTTCAACAGGTCAACCCTAGCTTTGGTGTGACTAATACACAAACACTTGACCCACCTGTCATAGAGATTAGTTCCTCTTCAACTTTCAGTACTCCGGTAAGTTGCTTTTGGGCAGTGGTAAGACAGGGTATAGCTTAAACTAACATGTTGTCAGAAATGCACTCTTTCTGTCTGTATGAATGAAATAGACTTTTAAACAATTGTCGACTGCTCAGAGCTCGATACCCTGACTTCTGAACTTGAGCTTTCTTTCATAGTTCCCAAGGCTAACCAGAAGATGGTGTAATAGCAAAGCTTTTGTGTTATACTAGTAACTGTACCCATACATGAAGCACAAATTCTAATTATAAGCCCATGCTAATTATATAAAAATATTACTGTTAACATTTGTGCTTATTCTCAAATACTTCTTGTAATTCTGTCTTTATCTGCAAATAATGGGAAACCTGAAGAATATTTGCCTCATTGATTCCAAAAGTGAAGTTTTAATTTTTCTCCTTGTAAGGCATCTAGTTGTTCTCTAGGAGGGGGGGGGGGAAAGGTAACACATTTTAAGACAGAATCATAGGATTAGATAAATCTAGTGTTAGCTTTTCATATGACATTGCTATGGCATGTGGGAGGAAAGGAAGGCAATGTTTTAACGGTAGTTTCGTAGGAGGAGAAATATGCTCTCCTGGTATGAAATCTAAAAGACATACTGTTCTAGAATTAGGTTAAAATGAGAATTTCTCCTTTAGCTCTGAATCTGTTCCTGTGAAGGCATAAGTTTTATCTTGAGTAATTTTAGATACCATAACAAGAGTTTGTGGCTGAAGGGTTAATGTACATGAACAGGCAGCAGGTGTTATTTCTGCTGTTCTATTTTGTCATGAGTGCATTATGAAAAGGTATGTTGGAAGGTACTTTATAAAATTCTTCAAGAGTATTTATTGAAGATCATGATACAGAGGTTATGTCTAAGAGAAACCTTTTCTTCAAAGCAAATAATCATATAATAATTTATTTGAGAGATGATAATTTCATACATTTTAAGGTTTAGCAGTTGTCATGTGTTTTCACAATGGAAGTATGGTTCTTTAAGATAACTTATGTCAAAAGTAATTTGCAGACTTACAGAAATCTTAAGTAGGCTTGACAGACAGTGGATTGTGGTGGATATAATTTATTGTCTACCTATCACTTTAAAATACTCTGTGTTCATTACTTCCTGATCTTAATACTGATCACAGAATTCAAATGTATAGTTACACTGTAATTCTTTGATATGTACCTATAAATTTGCCAATCACTTCATCTCCTTCATTAATTCTTTTGATATGAGAACTGTTTATAAAACTGTGCCCAGAACTCATGGTAGGAATAAGTTGACCCACTAGAGACATCATCCTTTTGAATGCTGGCTTGGATGTCTTTACAGTCTTTATTACAAAAATGTTCAAAATTCATGCCTTCTGACTGCGTCAGTGATCACTACATTTCCCTCCCCGCCATCCCCCCCTCCGTATCTCTTGTCCTACCAGTCATAGGAAATATGCTAGTACTGCCCCTAAGGTGACTTATTGCAGAGCAAAAAGATACTAGTCGTCTTCCTTCTATAAAGATTTGTTAATAAAAATGATGGACCAGCATAGGTTGAGAGGGATGTCTGGAGTCATTTCATCTAACATTCCTGTTAAAGCCAGGCCAACTTGTATCAGGTTCCTAAAGACCTTGTCCAGTTCATATGTTAATACGTGTAAGGATGGAGATTTCACCACCTCTTTGGGCAGCTTGCTCTAGTGTTTGACTGGTGAAAATATTTCTTTCGTAATATGAAGCTAGAATTTCTGATGTTCCAACATGTCTGTTGCCTCCAATTCTATCCCAGTGGTCCTCTAATAAGTTTCTGGCTCTGTCTTCTCTCTATCCACCCATTAGATATTTGAAATGGCAATTTGAAATCCTTCCTTCTTAAGGCTGAACAAACCTGATTCTGTGCCTTTTCTTGTATATCATGTGTTCCAGCCCCCTCACCATCTTGCTCGCCCTCTGCTGGACTTGCTCCAGGATGTCAGTGTCAGTCTTGTCTTGAGAAGCCCAAAACAGGACATACAACTCCAGATAATTAAGGTGCAGCGAAGTATCGCTGTCATCTGTTCATGACAACAGTCTGCCTGGAGAAGATTTGAAAAATAAATATTTCAAAATTTCCAATCTTTACTGTGAATTTAAAATATATATTTAGATATTTTCTTAGCAATTCATGTATATTTTGAGCTTTATCTGTATGAGGAAATACTAGTATTATCTCTTCCTCCCACTCCTCCTCTTCCTTTCAAGGAATTTTAATTGCTCCATCAGAACCAACAGTCCATGACAACTTCCACACTTAAAATGCCTGTTTACGTGGAGTTTTTAAATTTACTTGTATTTTCTTCCTTCAAAAATTAAGCCAAGATATCCAGTACGAATGTTCTAGTAGGGATTTTGCTAAAAAATACTCTCTGAACTCTAAACAACTTAAAGCTGTAAGGCCAGCTTTTTTTGAACATGGTGAAAAACCTGTTTTCATCTCAGATTCACAGACACAACTTCCTTGTAAACTTATTGTAGGGAATGTGGTGGTTGTGTTTGTGGGAAAACTTCAGTGGAGTCTTCAGTATGGAGCTGCTTTCTTTTGGACTACAATTATAAAAGCATTAAGAATTCCTGTCTGTGTGTTGTTATTGTCAGAAAAATAGGTTTGAATTTGATTAATTTATTCATTTCCCCTATGTGTTACTGAAACCAGTATAAGAACAAGCTATGTATGCTTAACTAACTGGTATTTGTGTACCGCCCTGACTTTTCCAGTGGTAAGAGCCTTAATATTTTGCAGTTACTAAAAATGAGGTGTGTTTTAGCCTTTTAAACTCTGAAAATGTTCACTGAATTGGGATCAAGGTTTGGGGGCTGGGGTGGTGTTTCTTTCTCCCTTCTATCTCACTGAAGACTCTGGAAGTATTACTGCCTCTCTCCTACCCTTTCTTCTCCATATGTCAAGCAGCTTAATATTGCCTTTGTTTTCTGAACTATTGAAAAGGAAAAATTGGAAGCCTTGTTTCACTTTGGAACTATTTCTGCCCGTTCTCTCCTATGCTTTTGCTTTTAGTTTTGAGAGAGATTGGGTTTTTTCTGTTTTTTGGTTGTTTTTTTTTTTTCCTCAAGTCTGTAAGGCAATACATTGGTAACCTCCGGTCCCTGATAAGCTGTTGGGAACAAGGGAAAGTTGATGATGTCTCGGTAGTTTTTACTGACAGCAGCAGGAAATCACTGTGGAGGCGCTCTCTAATGTTCCATCCCTTGACCTTGCTCATGTAAACAGGATTTGGAGGAAGCAAAGCAATGTGCTGTAATCTGGAAGTCAGAATGTCTGTGCTGCCTGGGAGATCTTTGCTCTTCTTTCTCTTCCAGTGCTAGTTAACACTGAAAATAAGACATGTTTATTGTTCATTTACAGTACAATTTCTACAAAAGTTAAGACTGGATTAATTATTGGAAAGGGAAAGATAAGGGTTGTTCCTGTTTGGAACAAGAGGAACTTAACTATGTTTTAAAATAGAAAGTGCCCAAATAAATCCTCCTTCCCTGCCCCCACAACTTGTAAAATACATGAAAGCAAATAAGAGCATGTGCAACTCTTATTCCTCAAGGTAAGACACTGTTAGTTTATCGGTACTGTGTTTGCAGTAGGTGTCTTGATGAAAAGAAGTATCTGTACTCACAACTTATCCTATATGTGTTGCTTCCTCAGTATGTATTTCTTAGGTATTTTTGACACCCTTTATTTTTTTTTTTTCCTGCCTTTGAGTACAACAACAAAAAAAACCAACCACCAAACTCCCCCCCAAAAACCCCAAACTAAAAACCACCTCGTGTATTATGCGAAGACAGCAACTATGAAAGCAAGATTTGCATCTATTCTTCCATCTCTGTGTACAGAGACAACTTACACAACTATTCTTCCTCATGGGAACTTATTTTGAAAAGATCTTGGAGTAACATCTCTTCCTTGGATGGCTTAACACAACATGCCTTACATGAAAATAAATGCCAACTGTCTTCAGTGAGGTTAAGGAGAGGGGAAAAGGAAGAAGGGAAAGAATAGGAATTTTATACATGAATCATCTCAGGGGCCCAAGTCCAGTTCAGAAGGGAACAGCCAGTAGAGCAAACTCATATGGCACTGCACTGTGCACAGTGGTTGCCCTTATTGCTTGTTAGAGTTCATCTGAAAGCACAACAGCTTTCTGTAGTTCATGAATATCAAGTTTTCTTGGGACCACAGACATTTAGCCTTTCACTTAAACTTTGATCATTGCGTGATATTCATATATTTTTCTCTACCAAAGGAAAGTTCTGGCACTATCTCTTTGAAAGGAAGACTGGATTCATTGTACTATTTAAAAAAAAAAAGGGCAAAAAATGTCTTGCTTGTGTTCTTGTCCAACACTCAGTTGCCAATTAGACTGAGCTGTGCATTGGGGAATGATCCCACCAGTAGAAGGGCTTTGATTAAAAATTGACAGTTCCCAGCCTCTCCTGTCACCTTACCTTCCTTGCTCCCAGGCAGAGAAATGAGAAAGGCCACTCCCTGAACAGCTATGGATTTTTTCCATATACTGCCATTCCTCTGTTTACCAGTAAATACACATTTGAAATAACTGCTGACTCCATGATCTGAACTCCAAATTGCAAACAGGGAATGAAATTAGGGAATAATGTGAAGAGATCCTGTCTCTCCAAAGTTTTGAGGTAGAACTGTCTGCACCTTTTCCATAGATGAGCGTACCGAAACCTCTCAAACAGGCTCTGAATCTCTGATGCTAGGTCTTACCAACACATAGAATAAATGATATAACTAGAGGAACTCAGAAGTGTTTGGGGAGGGGAATGGGGAAGAATTTGTAAACTCTACTCTTGTTGTCTTTGCAAATGATTCCTTCTCTCTGTCTAATCTTGCTCTTAGACAAGCTATTTTTGTCATCTTGGCTTGCAGCACACTCCAGACAGACCTTTCTACTCTTTGCACGCTATGCAGGTACAGTGTGTGGGGCTGAGGGAAGAGGATGGGC